GACAGAAAGCAAACGTCCTTTTTATACAGGGTAGCAAGCCACGATTTTTAATACACGTATCTGAGGCAGATATACGTTATTAATACACGTTTTGAGTACTATAAGCATGTGAGTGAATAGTTAATATGAATAATGTCATTCTTTTATTTAGAAATCACAGACGAAGAGGTGACTATGAAGTACATCACGAATTCGTCCACAGTTCAGATGATGCTGTGGCTGGATTTGCGACACAGTGCTAGTACTCCTAATTTATTAATATCTGGTAATGCATTGAAAGAAGTAAAATGAGTATTTTAATGGGTCGATTGAGTATAGCCTGGAGAGAGATGACCATATATTTAACAATTTCGCTGTAATTGTATAAGTTTTGGATCAAATCTCTGAATGAAATTTGCATGTATTGGAGTATATACATAAACTGGAACCGTCAAAGACTGATTAAAATTAAAATACACTTAGGAGGGGATCACGTAGCATAAAATGCTGTATATATTCGGTACGCGTAAGGATTCTCCCATTTACATGAATAAGTTTGACGAATTCGGCTATCACATATTCTGGAGGACGAAAACTTCCCTGATACAAATCTGAAAGAAAGGTAAAACATCAAAATCCTCTAAGTAGAAAATTTGGATCCACGAGTGGGCTATGAAGTCTACTTACATTTTTCATTTTATGGCTACCATATATTTAGACCTCAATATCTTGAAAACTTTTACAGCTGGAGAAAATCCCTTACTAGAAACTTTCAATGAGAGGACGAAATCAAAATTTCCTAAGGATGAGAAACATTGTTAGAACAAGCCCTTTTTGTATTTGCGTTATACGGCAGGTACCAAAAAGGTCCCTCCTGTTTCTCATGTTCGCCTCGACGAATTCCGTCCAAAATTATTCTGAAAGACAATGAGATAAGCAGGTAAATCACAAAAAGGGCCTATAGCAAAGTACTTTAATCAGGGAATATTATGACACATATGTGGGTGCAATATTTAATCCTCGTACGATAGCTATACAATTATATATTCACACGACTTTTTCTCGAATTGGAGCCTTGTATTGTCGCTACATTGTATTATTGGCAAATATCTAAATAAAAACATTCAAAGTGATTGAAACGAAAATCTTTTAGATAGGGGTTTAATTTATGCAGAATGTTTATAGAATCCATCCAGAACGTGTCTGCTTTACACAGCTGGTAGTAATAAGTTTCCTCTTGTTTCTCTGATTCTGATGGACGAATTGTGTAATATCCAATATGGGCATTGTTATTGCAACTATATATGTATTCCCCTGCGTTTCGAAATCTTCTAGACGAAACTTCGCGAAATTTTATCAACTGTTTCAGCAGATCACTGATTTCATTTGTTGGAAAAGAAGTTTAAATAATATTTTTCTAAGCATGGATTAAGTTACTGATAGAATAAGTGAATGTACTGATTTATGTTACTAATATCTATAAGGATGCTGTTGATGGCTGTATTCAGAAAAGATGATATACTATCTTCGAAACAGGCTTATTTTTAGCCAATGTTTCTCATTCATTTGTCTCTGCATGACAGGCTTGATGTTTATGCTTCGTGGGACTGATGGTTTGGGATGCAGTTGAGTACATGGAGTCTCGGAATGATGACCAGTGTTCCTGGATATTATCGGAGTTCACATCATCAATTGTTTCTAGTTGACAAATGTCTGTTTTATAGTCTCAAGTTCAATTTGAGGACATTTAGCGTTTTGACCACATTTTGCCTTATGTTAGTCAGATAGAATGAATCAGGGTATTGACGTTGGAGATCCTTGCCATGTGGTCATTCAGTCCATCATTCTGTTCCTATAATGCCCGATTGACGAAATCATACCAGTTTCTTCTCTTGAACGTAACGTTGTCAGTGAAATGCAAATGTTGGGTGCATGCGTGAATCGAATACGTCTTGTTATGGTTTGGCAGGCGGAAGACCGTGATGATGATCCTAATAGGTCGTGTTCAGCGCATGTTCTCAGTAAGAGGAGTCTATGCTTGTTGCATTAGTCTAAGTTAATTTTGCCAATAACACATTGCCATGTCTGATGATCATTCCATCTTTCTCCAAGGATTTTCGTGAGACTGGGTATTGATACAATTTGTCCTTGATGTCAACTTGCTTGGTCTTGGTGGGTACATCGGCGCTAATGATAGTTACCTGTCTTATTCAGACTGCGTGAATATGGCATTAATCTGACATTCGTGTTCGTTTGGAGATTTGCGTGTTAGCTGAATTGCTTTGATTTGATGACAAATTGAAGATTAACTTCATATCACTCCTTAGTTTTACTTCGGTTACTCCAAAAGGTCTATCAAACTCCATCTTTGGTGGGTTGCCTATTCTCATTTAGGCGTGTTTCACACCAGATTGCTATCTGATGCTGAATATGCGATGTTCACTATGAACTAGAGCAGGTCTTGTCTTTGATCTGTCTGCTGATGTACCCACCATTCTAGGCATCGATAGTGAGCTGCATTATTTAGTCGTCTAGTTAGTTTTCTACTGCTAAGTTGTATGCTGACCGTGGTTATGGTGAGTGGGCAATATTCCGGTCACATTTCTAAGTCATTAAAGTGGTACGGAGGTAAACATTGTGATCTTTAAATGGGCTGATTGTTTGAGAGGAATAATGCCATGACTTAAACGTAAGCTAGATTTAAGTGAGTAAAGGTTACGCATTTCTCTCTCTCTCTCTCTCTCTCTCTCTCTCTCTCTCTCTCTCTCTCTCTCTCTCTCTCTCTCTCTCTCTCTCTCTCTCTCTCTCTCTCTCGTCCAGACATTTTTGAATCCAACAGTTATACAATGTCGCGACGTCTGAAGAAAATCCATGATGCAGTGGATGGCGTTCAGGTCTTACTTCACTTGAACTAATAGCCTGTACTATCCACGCAGCTTTTACCATCTTCCGCCTGATCGAACAAAGATGGCTTTTCAGAGGGATCCAGTTGTAGCTGTCTACTCCAGACCAACAGTAACAGTCTTCTGCTGTAAGTAGTTAAAGCAGACGTAGCCCGACCTTACCAAAAAGACCGTAAAATTTTTTAAGAACTTCAAATCAAAGGCTGAGGAAATAATACAAGAGATTTCCTTGTTTTCCTATAATCAACAACTATAAAGAGTAACACGATTCCAGTGAGCATGCCCGAATATGTTTGTCAATTTTGTGTTTCGTGTTCAACTTCGGAAGTATGGATCTGCTCATGGGCTTTACTGAATCCAACGGAACTCACATGGCAGAAGATAGCGCTGTTGAGGCTGCATTTTGTTTGTGGCGCAGTAAAAGTTGTCACTGAAAAATAATCTCCAAATTTAAGTTCTAGGTATGGTTATTGAGAAATTGCTGAGAAAATGTTCTATGATAATCTTCCAACATGCGTGGGTGATTTGCTTCAAATACAGTAAAACTTGTCTTATGAGACCACTGCTATGAGAGACAATCTATTTTGGGAGACCTGGTTCTTAATGTACAGATTTATTGATTATATAGTATTATGACCTGTCATGAGAGACCATTATGTTTTGGCAAAAGGGGTGGTCTTTCAAAGCAGGTTCCACGTATTAGAATGTACGGCTGGATAGGTCAGAAAATGAAAATCGTTCTTTAGATTCTGTTGTCAAACCTGTCTTGATTTTGATGATATATATATATATATATATATATATATATATATATATATATATATATATATATATATATATATATATATATATATATAATATATATATATATATATATATATATATATATATATATATATATATATATATATATATATATATACCTTGGTCGCGAAAGGTAAATCGGCCAACGCATTGAAAGGCATTACGACGTACACAGCCTTAGTTTATCGCGGCTCTGTATGCTAATTATTCCCATAATTTCTTTTTTAAATGGTTTAGTGCACCTGCCGCATGCAAAGTAAATATTACCTTTCGCTTAACTTATCTTCACTTGGATCGCCTATTCGTCACTTCTAATATAGTTTTATTGATATTTAATAGCACATCATTCAGATGTCTGTTATACACAGCGCTAGATGCCTCTATGATCTATGATTCATTTTATCCTTCACTCCATTGTACTGTATAATAAATAAAGGAGAATGATGATAGATAAAGACGAGAATTTTTCCTCTTAGCACTGTCGTTATAGGAGTTTCTATTGTTGCAGTGGTTGCAGTATTTAAGTTAAAGTACATTTTCTCGGGTACTTTATTGTCAGATCTATACCTAAAAGCAGATTAGCTTCAAGCATATATGTCGTGTCCATTGATTTATCTGCATTCATCATACTTCGATATTTGTTCCTTACCAGCAACTGCCATGTTGTGTGAATCTGTTGGCCATTTAAATTTCTTCTTAAAATTACTTCATGTTCTTTTTATTAAAAATTTTAAAAAATTAAAACGTAAAAGAAATAAAATCCTATGTAAGCATCCGGCAAAAGAAATCAAAAGAAGATTCAATTTATAATTCTTGATAGAACTAAAATCAGCTCATTAAAAACCAATATCTAGAAACAAATGCAAAATTTACAATGAAAGATTTACTAATAAATTTTATAAATCTCAAAGGCTGTTTTCACATACAAAATTCTAAGAATGATACGAGTCAATTTGCAGTAAAAATAATTTTGATTGCTGACATACTTTGCAAAGATTTGTTACACTGAGATAATGTGTGATATTATTTTTGTACCAAGAAAATATGTCTCGGGGAAATCAGTACCTTCGGAGATGTGTTGTGATTATGATCTTAAACATAGCTTTAGCAATTTTTCAGTCATATCGCTATGATGTCTGCAGTGTGGCAGTTTATAGTGATGTCTACTACTGGGGCATCATGCCACAGACATGTAGCATAGTGTCCCACCCAGTCACATTATTCTGACACCAGGCTGACCAGTCCTAACACTAACCTCTAATGCTGAATGTCAAGCGATGTAGCTGTTAGTACCATTTTTGTAAGTCTTTGATATGACTCGACTGGGTATAGAACCCAGGACCTCTAGGATCCGAGGCTGATGCTCTAACCATTAGGCCACTGAAGCGGTTAGTACCTTCGATGATGATGATGATAATAATAATAATAATAATAATAATAATAATAATAATAATAATAATAATAATAATAATAATAATAATAATAATAGCAGCAGCAATAGCTGATGTGAAGTTATGGTGATTTCATTCAAAGTATGTTTTGTGCATCCTATATGTAGCCGATACCTGCAGTAATAAATTAGTTTAAAACCTCAGTGACAAAATGTTGTGAAAACATGTTTGTATGCTGAACATATCGCTTAAATAAACTATTTGCTTTTGTTCATCTAGTTATTAGAAATAAACGGAATTAATAATATGTTAAACCTATGTTTAACCAAAAAAGGATGATACTACATTCCCGCAACCTATTATTTGAATTAGACAATTTGATTTATTATCTGAAAATTGCATGTTTATTTAGATGATTATTCAAAGTTTTTATCTCAAAAGGTAATGGCGGCTACGAGTGGCCAAGTGGTTTAAAGCGCTCTCCGTTACGAATCACTGCCATTTCATCTTTGTCTGCGTGAGTTTGAGTCAAAGATTCAGCGAATGTGGATAAGTGAGAAAGCTTGCCAGTAGCTTCTCGTGGGTCGATGGTTCTTTCCGCAGATTTCCCGGTTTCTTTCTCCACCATTAATACTGGCCGCCATGAATAGCCTATCGTGTGCTGAAAAATTGCGTTAAACCCCAGAACAACAACAATCAAAAGGAAATGTTTATTTAACTGAGTAAAAGTGATCGAACTGTGCCTATGTTTTGATATAATGCTTGATTTTGCCTATGTCTTACAGTTACTTCATAACTGGTTATATATAGACATGGGGCGTATCAATGGCATTATCAGATAAGTGGGATCGATGAGTAACGAGTGGAATATGATGACACGTGGTGTTGAATTAAATACTGAAGTTGTACTTATCTTGTTTTCAGTCAAACTGAAAATCAGCAAGGGGGTCTCACTGGACAAAGACAAGTGTGAAGTGAAAGGTTAATAACTAGATTCTCTTTTTCATTTGTACTTTATAGAACCCATGATGACGTACCGATATTGTATTTAACGCTCAAATGTGAGAGGTTCTACAAATATAATTTGTGCTTGCATGTTACTGCGACTTTGTTATTTGATAGACTTGCATTTTTACAAAAGAAATATATGGTTGCTTTGTATTGTCATTTATTTGACCTTTCAAAATATATATATTTGGTTTTTATAAGGTTGATCGATATATTATACTTATGGTTGACCGTCTTGCAAATATTTGTGCACATAACGTCATTCTCTGGTTTTCTACATCGAGGAAGAATTTCGGGTGTGTGGGTGAGTCTTTTTTAAGAAAATATGTACAACAACTATAGTTTCATCAAAGAGAACATAGCTTTGAAAGAAACGAAAGCAGTATTTCGATTAAGAAATGACAAATATTGTGTCGAAAAGTCCCCATCTTGCCGAATTTTGCAGTTTTGCAGACTATTGTTTTCGTCAATGAGAACAATATCCCTGTACTGCAATACCTTTAGTGTCCCAATGGAAAGGGGATGAGAGTGCAAGGAATCTGGACATATGCCAAGAGATGAACCAATATCAGAACCAAATGATTGTAGATCTAATGTCTAAATTCCCATAATGCTTTGACTTGGAGACCAGATCTTGGATAGTTGGATTACTATATGGTATCAAACTGAACACTTGTCGCAATTAGGAATAAAACTACCCGATACTCTTTAGTGCTCAGAGTTTACATAGACGAAGAAGTAAAAACAAAATACTAGACTTAGGGGTTAAGTGAACCTTTAAAGTCCCCATATTCATTCACTCTATTAATTCTAAGGAAATAGACAGAAGTGCACTATTTTACACAAGGTCAAAGAACTTGATGCAGAGTCGATGCCCAGTCTGGGTATGGTTATGTAAAGGACCAAATTTTTAGGTCGATGTTTGTTTGTTAGAATTAACTATGGTATAATACACTTAGGCGTATACATGTACTAATAACGAGATTTATAGGAAATATTTGCATCTTACAAGCCATAAAGTACAGATTAGATCGGGCAAGACCAGAAGCTATTAGTTTTTAATTAAAAGCCTTGTTTGTTTAAACTTACCGAATACGGTTCAAGTTTGGTTCTGCATGGAATTTATAGTAGGAGAAAACTCAGTCGTAGCCATTTGTTGATAGAAATAACCCATCATTTTCAGGATCTGATAAAACACTCCCAACTAATTACAAAAAACTAGTGCCTCACAGCGAAATCCTACTCAATTAAAACTGAAATACAACATGTACCTGCCAAAATTATAATGATTTGCCAATTTGAAAGAAAAATCCATTATATTATCATTACAGCGTTTCTTTATGATAAGTTTTCAGGTCTACATGAAAATATGAGGTCTATATGTATTCAAGTTGAGATGTCTGATGAAACTAGTCGGAGCCTCGTGAATGCTTAAATCTTAAAGTATCAAACTCCAAAGCGCACTTTTACCATTTTAATGATAAAGCGTTTTAAGTCGTACAGACTTTACATGTCCTCTTGACTTTCAAAGATCTTCTCAGATTCCACTAGGATCTATTAGTGTCTATAGTACAAGTTGCCAGAAAATTGCACATTTCAAGGTCTTAAAAAGCGAAAGATATAAATTCAAATTAAACAGCAATAATATTACACTTGACAATTTTGTGCGTGTGTGTGTGTGTGTGTGTGTGTGTGTGTGTGTGTGAGAGAGAGAGAGAGAGAGATGACGTGAGCTCTTAAGATTTGAAAAGTGACTTTATTACTGGCACATATTAATTGCTCATCAAAGACATAAATGTGTCCATTCGTAATAAATCAACACGTTGATCTCTTATTGGTACTGGGTATCGTGTCAGAGAAGTTAAGCTGGCTATGTGAACAGTTCATAAATAAAATTCTTATTGACGTAATAAAATTAAAGTCTGTGATCTTCAGTGAAAGCCATAAAATACTCCAATAAATTTGCACCATTATATGAGGTTTATAAACTGTTGTTGGGTTCCGCTTGTGATGTGCACTTTGAGAGATGTTAATCATTCTATGTGTATGTCTTTCTTAGGCTTCGAAAACAAAGCATATATCTTTGCATTTATTGATTTAATTGTAATTTGTCAAGTGAAATTTCATCAAACGTTCTATAAATCTTATGCGAAAACAATTCTGTTATGCATCTACGATATTGTGTATATACTACCAATGTGTATGCACACGTAAATTGCCATCTGGTATTTGTTAGAAATATTTACTTGAAGATTAAAACAGTTCCTCTTCTCTGGTGTTTTTGAGAACGGCACGTTTCCTTCAAGACAAACATTGAAATTATTCTTCGTTGAAATCTAGGTGATTACTTTGCAAGGTAAATGCTGTATATTTTGTTATCTAACAGACATCGACAGACAATGACACCTGATAAATCGGAAGAACATAAAACATGGAAAGTATTTAAATATACACCTATTCTTTTGTTGTAATCTTAAAGAGATAATTAACAGAACTTGCAGATATTTGTTAACGTGTCCAGCAAAGATAAATTAAAATGATAAAATCTATCTATCTTCTACCATACTATAGAAATTAAACCATGACCTATTCATGCCATGTTTGATGCACCGCTGTCCGAATTTTAAATTCGCGACAGTAAAGCGACGATTTTTGCACTCAAATCTTCTGTCACAATAATTATGCGCCAAAATTAGTTCAGATATATTTTAGTACACCACAAATAGGTTTTCAATTGACTTTTTCATAGCCATACCAATGACGTGTACAAATGGTACTAACAGCTGCCTCGCTTGGCACTCCGCATTAAGCGGTTAGTGTTAGGTCTCACTGGATAGTTTGATATTTTGACCGCCCCCCCCCCTAATTTTTAAGGTAGAAGGCATGAGCCTAATTATGACAACCCTAGCATTTATAAATTCACACATAATCTAAATCTGTAATATGGTTTACATTTACTTTGAGTTAGGCTTGTAAACGGGTTGCCTTGATGGTGACTCCTGTCATAGTTAGACTAGCATTGGAGATCCAATGCGTAACTTGGGCTGCAAATGTGCAGCCGACTTGGCTTACGTATTTACATGTGTCTGCTACAGAGGTAAATATCTAAAAATCTACTTAGTTGAGGGGTGGTGAAAAGTATGTTAATTTGCTATAGTACTAGTGAAATTTTAAGATGAATAAGATAAATACGAACTCTGTTAGCTGGCTTCTGAAAGGAACAGGTTGAAAATAGCTCTTTTCTGTCAATAATAAATGTAAAAAGGAGGGGTTGGTGGTAGTATAGGTTCAGTATAGGAATTAACCCTAATACCTTAGTCAGAATCTTACAAGCATCCTTTCAACAAAAATTATTAGTTTTTATTTGTATCTTTATTGTAAAATTATTATCATTTTTCTGCAATAGGTCATGGTCGGATGAAAATTTGCCAGAAAAAACTGTCCTGTGAGACATTAGGAATGGTTGGCCTGGTGGTGTGATGATAATGTGACTGGGTAGAACGTGATGCTATATATCTGTGCCATGATGCCCTTATGATAGACATCACTATAAATTGCCACACTGCAGACACCGTAGCGATATGACTGAACATTTTTAAAGCTACGTTAAAAATCAATATCACGTACGGACACACCCATAGACACACACACACACACACAGACACACACACACTTTGTTTCATTTGTATGTTGCCTTACTTTGCAAGCCTTCCAAACACATTTTGTTTTTACATTAATCTCTGATCAACCATAATAAAATTTGTTTTAACAATCAAATGGACTCAACCTAAAACATTCTAAACCTTTAGTACTTCAAAGAATAGACAATAGTGCTTCTTCATTACAATATAATTTCTTTACACTAACTATATCTGTAATCAAAACATCGATATTATGTATGGGTCCACTGTCATACCGTGACTGACGCCTTAGACTAGAGACCGAAAAGGTGCAGGTTACAATTCCGCCTAGATTAAGTTGCTGTTGC